GTTCCCTTTCCCTCCCCTCCTCCCCCTCCCCTCCCATCCACTCCCCATTCAATTCTAAGAAAGGGTAAGGCCTCCCATGGGAGTCAACAAAGCCTGGCACATAGGGTTGAGGCAGAACCAAGCCCATTCCCCTTGCATCAAGGCTGAGCAAGGCATCCCACCATAGGGAATAGGCTCCAAAAAGTCAGCTCATACACCAGGGATAGATCCTGGTCCCAGTGTCAGGGGCCCCACAAACAGACCACATAATTGTCACCCACATGCAGAGGGCCTAGTTTGGTCGGTCCCATGCAGGCTTCCCAGCTGTCCTTGAGCTCCCACTAGCTCGGGTCAGCTGTCTCTGTGGGTTTCCCCACTATGATCTTGAAGCTCCTGCTCATATAATCCTCGTCCTTCTCCTCGACTGGACACCCCGGAGCTCAGCCCAGTGCTTGGCTGTGGATCTCTGCCTCTGCTCCCATCAGCTTCTATGATAGCATATAGGTTAGTTAGAAGGCCAGTTCAGGCACTCTCTCCACTATTCCTAGGAGTCTTAGCTGGGGTCATCCTTGTGGACTCCTGGGAATTTCCCCAGCACCAGGCTTCTCTCTAACCCCATAATGGCTCCCTCTATCAAGATATCTCTTTCATTGCTCTCCCTCTCCATCCCTTCTCCCTACTTGACCATCCATTTCCTCATGTTCTCATCTCCCATTCTCTCCCTTCTGCCCCCCAATCCCTAACTTACAATCCACAGCCCAAGAGGAGCTAGGGAACAAAGAGAACCCAAAGAGGGACACATGGATTATCCTGGGAAGAGGAAATAGACAGGAATCACTGACTTTAAACAACAGATAGTTCAAAGTCTAGGTGCTATAACCCTGGAATTCAAGCCAGATGCCATGACTCTGTGGAATCTCTACAGACCCTTCTACTTGTCCCAGCCAGTCAATGGTCCACACAGTAACTACATTCCCACATCCCTCATACCCGCTCTCTCCTAAAATCACTGCAAATGTTGTCTAAGTGAAACCAAAATCCAACCTTGTGGCCCAAGTCATCCAGATATCTGCTCTGCATATTTCTCTTTAAAACGCCACTGAGTGCAAAAAAAGTCCCTTTGCAGAAGCACTACAAGAAAGCATGTCTAAAATCACAGAACTATGCACACACAGACACAGACACGTGTGCTCGCACACACATGGAGTTGAGAATCAAAGAATCTCTTCAGATACATATTTGAGGGAGCACAGGGAAAGGCTGGCAAGAGAAGATATGGAGATCAGATCGGATCAAGATGTTGGAATCTGGGGGGCTGGAGAGATGGCTCAGTGATTAAAAACATTCCCTGCTCTTCCAAAGGTCCTGAGTTCAATTCCCAGCAACCACATGATGGCTCACAACCATCTGTAATGAGGTCTGGTGCCCTCTTCTGGCCTGCAGACACACACACACACACACACACACACACACACACAGAATATTGTATACATAATAAATAAATAAACATTAAAAAAAAGATGTTGGAATCTGGGGCTTGTGAGATGGCTCACTGGGTAAAGTCACCAAACCTGATCACCTGAGTTCAATCCCAGGGGTGAAGAAGATAACCAATTCATGAAGGTTGTTCCTTCACCTCCACCCATGCACACACTAACTCGATAAATGACATTGAAATGTTATAGCAAGGGCATGGGTGTGGTTCTTAGCACAGGTGGAAAGGGGTGTGTGGAGAGACTGGCAAATCCAAGCTACTAGAAAGAGAGAGAGATGCCGTGGGCATGCATGAGGCCAGCTGATGCAGAACAGAAATGTTCTATTATGGAGTGGCCCTCTGAAGGGGGGGCTTACATGGTCCAGAGAGGACCTATCTGCTTAGCGGGGCACCTTCATGGTGTGGTGTGTGTTCGGGAGATTAGGGGCCTCACAGGCTTCTTGAACTCCATCTGACTGATTGCTGGCCACAGGTTGGTTGAAATAAATTTTTTCAGATCTGATGTTACTGGGGGCTGAGTATGTTCGTGATCGGGTGAGCCGGGTCATGCTGGCAGATGGTACTGTAACAAAGAACCAGGAGATCAGGAGGAGGAGCTCGGAGAAGCTCAAGTGCTCTACAAGCTTCACCTAAGACTTCACCTTTCCCAGCCCACCTAAGATGATGCCAGCACGGCATAAGAGGTGCCCCCTCTGCACCCTTTGCTCTAGGTGAGTGACTGTATGCAAGGCTGCTGTGATCTCCTGTATCTGGATTCTCCCCAGATTTGACTTCAGAGTCTGATGGGAAACCCTAAAGGCAGAGTAAAGCCTCTTAGCTGTTACCACACCATTCATACAGTGATTAGGAAGGTGGCTTTGGGAACACACACTGGTCACCAAAACCTGTAGTGCATGCAAGACTAAACCAAAGAACAAAAGAACAAACAAGTAGGACGTGTTCTACAGTGTAAGTCCGGAACAGTGAGATTGCTGTCCATGCCCAACGACCTCCTGACTCAGGTAAATGCTGATGAGCGGCTGCCCATCTCATACACGGGCACAGACGAAAGCCCCGCACTCACTGGTTTCCACTTAAGGCTGATTAGTTGATGGGTTGGTTATATTCTGAGAACCGTGAACTCTCAGATGTCAAACTCACTCCATCACCCATCTCTATTTAAGAGAGCATATACTACTCACTGTAGCCCATCCCCTGCAAAAAGTACCTGAAGGCCTCGGTGAGCTTCCCAGCCTGGGAGGACAACACAAAAAGTCATCAATCACTGTGGTGGTATTTTATTTGTATTTTAATAAATAAAGCTTGCCTGAAGATCAGAGTGCAAAGCTAAATCACTAGAGGCCAGGCACACACCTTTAATCCCAGGACTCAGGAGACAGAGGCAGATGGATCTCTGTGAGTTCAAGGCTACCCTGGGCTACACAAGATCCATGCAGAAACAGATCAGAGGTGGTGAGATGTAGGTTTATAAAGACTCATGAAGCTTGGGAAAGGCGTGGAGATCCCACAGATATGACTTACCTGTTCTGTAGACATAGGTCTCTGGTCTGAACCAGAGGAACTGGAGCTTGGGCTAGATAATTTCCCTCTGCTGGGCATTCTTCCCATCATTCCTCAGCACACTCTCAGAAGCACACAGCCAAAACCTGAGAAGGGTGCTGCTGTGGAGACACAGCCCATGATCCTAGCTAGGACCCACACTGGGAGTGACCCCTCTTGTCAGGTTCAAGCCCCAGCTCTTTCTTCATATGAAGAGACTGCAGGTAAGCTACAGGCGGTTTGCTTTGCATCAGTCTTTCCGAGGTTGTGGCCTTGCTCCATTCTAAGAACATCAATGGTCTCTTCTACCTCTGGGTAGGAGCTTTGGGGACTGTTTTTGTGTTCCTTCCTATGGGCTAGACTGCATTTTCCATTCCCTTTGGGTCTGTCTGGATTATATCCTTTCTCAGGAAGCTTTCTGGGAATCTTTAGCCTTTGCTGAGTCTCCTGTGAACTCCTGTGGCCTGAGAACCATTCTTTAGGCCTGGGGTCAAATTCTGCTAGTTTGTGGCAGGGATAGTGTCAAGACACTGAGCTCTCTCCAGGCATATCAGGGACCATGGCTAGGGTTAGAGAGGAGCTAAGGAGGAGCCAAGAGGCCTTGGGATGGGAGCCACAGCAGAGGTGGCACTGCACAGTTATTGGTGAAAACAGCTGGGAGTCTGTCAGTCCATGTGACACAGTGGTGACTCGCAAGGCTCTTAGGTACTGACTGTCACTTCCACTCTTGGTGCCCCTTTCCTCATCTGAGAAGTGGGGTAACCACACCCAACATTTGGGTATGGAAGATAATGCCCTGGAAAACCAGCCCTGGGGCCATACTTCCTTCCTGGTTTTGAAGAGCCTGTTACAAATTCTTCCAGCTCTTCCTTTTTCACTTATTCTGTTGTGTTCCTAAGAAGCTTTTTTTTTTTTTTTTTTTTTTTTATGAGACTATGAGCTATAGGACTGTGTTCCCTAGGTTGTCCTCCCAAACTCTTGGGGTCAACTGGTCCCATTGCTTCACAGCCCTGTGACTGCCAGCAGGCTCAGTTGGAATATTTGTTCAATCGGCCATTACCCTACAGTTCCATGTCCTGTCCTCAGCATTGTGAGGCCCACTGAAGGCTCTCAATACACATCAACAGAATGAACCAAAGTGAGCAGAGTGTAAGCACATCCTTGGTTTCTAGAGAAATGTTGATTTTCCAATAATTTCTATTAAGTGTTTCAGTGAAGGGGGCTGGTTCGCTAATCCTTTTCGGATGACAAGGTAAAATTTCATCTGTTTGGTTCTATTCACTGAGTTTGTGTTCTGTGCCAG